GTCTTCTTCTTCCATGTTCCATTCTTTCCCCTGGATGATTGCTTCTTCTAGACTCAGGTTTTGAAGGTTGGGCAGTCTCGCAATTCTTGACAGTGAATTGGATGGCAGAGCAAAGCTCCCAAATACAAGTTTTTTCAAGCTCGAAGGGAAGTGAAAATCACACTGATGTATACATGGGCAAAAATATGCGTGAACTTCTTCAAGTTCATCAAGGATATCCAATCTTGGAAAACAAATCTGCTCTGCTGAACAAGGCCAGGGTTCCTCAATGGTGAATGTAAGGATTCTAAGATTGGGAAACCTTTTGAAAACATCCTCTCTGTTTCCCGAAGAGGAAAGCTTGAGACCATACAATATTCTCAAATTCTCTAACTTTAAGTCCTCTTCTAACACTGTTGATTCATCAGTATCCAAATCAAAGACCGAACAACTATCCATGCTCACATGTTGTAACTTTACAAGACTCCAAATACTAGGTGATAGTACCATGTTTGATCCCTGGTTATCCACCACAAGAGTTTCCAGATTCAAGAGGTTTGAAAATGACGGAGGAAGAGCTTTTGCCTTCATCTGAATCTTTAAGCACCTTAAATGAACAAGCATGCCTATTTCATTCAGCAAAGAATATGTCAATCTTATTTTGTGCAGCTCCAACCTTTTAAGAAGTCTCAAGTGTCTTAGGTGACAGTTGTAGGAAAGATGATTGTGCTTCCCATCAGAAACCATCAAAGAGAGGAGGTGTTTAACATAAGGATTTTTCTTTTCTGGATTGAAAAGGCAAAATTTTCATCCAAATGAAAAAGACGTCGGTCATAACGAATGATCATTGCACGTGGCACACGTTCTGAAGAAGAAGGAGACGGAGCACTTGAACTTATGAAATCAAACAGCTGTTCCTCTCTAGCTTTTATTAAACAAAAATCATGCACAAGATCATGAATTCGGCAACTCGATGCCCTACCTCTCTCACTGGAAACTATTACAAAGCCACTGCAAATTAACTCATCCAAATGAACCTCCACTACTTCTTCCACACTCTTCATCTCAATCTGTTCCAATAGTCCTTCAGCACTCCATAAATCTTTCAATTCAGATATTTCAATATATTCATCCTTTGGATAGCTTGCAAGGTAAAGCAGGCACGGCTTTAAGTGATCTGATAAATGGTCATAACTAAATTGTAAAATCTTCATGAATTCAAAATCATCTAATAAAAAGGAATTCAAACTGTTTAGAACTTCACACCAAAAAGCCTTACTCTTTTCTTTCGTTGCAATGACTCCACCAATCAGATGAAGTACCAACGGAAGCCCTTTACATTTTTTGGTTATTTCATATCCAACATGCAATAGTTCATCAGGGCAACTTTCTTTTCCGAATACCTTTCTCTCTAATAATTCCCAGCTTTCTTCTTGACGTAGCAATCGAAGACAAAGAGGATCACTGTAGCGTTTTCCATACAAAGCCACTTCCTTCATTCGACTTGTTAAAATAACTCTGCTCCCTTTCATAAATTCAGGAAAATGTCTTGTTAAATCATCCCATGCTGCAATATCCCACAAGTCATCCAAGACAATTAGGTACCTCCTTTTGCATAGCTCTCTTTGGAGCTTATCACCAACAACAAAATCCTCACTGAATTTGGCATCTGATCCAATGACTTGATTATAAATTTTCTGCAAAATCTTATTCATGTCATACTCTTGGTCGATCGTGCACCATGCACGAACATCGAAATGATTAGCAATAGACTTATCATTATATACTCTGTAAGCCAGAGTAGTTTTTCCAAGCCCTGGCATGCCAATGATCGAAATGACATCTAGTGTTGCTGGTCCACTAGTGAGCTTCCTTATTATCCAGTTTGTCTCCTCCTCAAACCCACTCTGAACTAGCTTGTTGGGAGAGTTTACGACAATAAAACCCTTGTTCTTTTGGATCTTCTTTGATACCTCTTTTTTGATAAGCTTGATCTTTTCTATGTTACCCGGAAGTGAGAAGATAAGTTGCAAGAGACCGTGATCTCTGACAATAATTGAATTAATGGCATGTTCTGCCTCATATGCCACATCTAGAATACGAGTCCAGAGATCTCTGTTCAATTCTTGTTCAACATTCGTGAAGAACGGTCTTATGAATTCTAGGTCTTCTTTCAGCAGTCCAATTTCTTGCTTTATTAAAACAGCTGAATACGCATTGGAATTAAGCAAGTCATTTAAGCTTTTGAGTAGAAGAGTCATGAAGAGTGGTCCGTCACTCATGGGGAAGCTTAGTTGAGATGAGTCTTCGGGGGCTTTCAGGAAAACATGCTTGAGATCTTCCTTCAGTAGTTCAATACTCTCCAGCAAGTCTAGACTGCCACAGTTTGTTTCACTGGTATTCACTTCACCCCTTGATTTCTCTTCTAAGTTGCAAACAAGAATGGATACTTCCCTGGTAAGTGCTCCAACACGTGTCAAGAGATCGAACAATTTTTCTTGATGAATAAAGTCCTTGGGCATATCTGTGAGAATAATCAATAGGAACTCTATCATGACATGAATGTTTCGAGCTGAAGGGCTAGCAGTAAGAACAGCCACCATGTGCGCTTGTAGATGAATCAAATATTCTCTAAGAATGTATGGAGAGGCTCCTAGGAGCTTCTTAGAGAAGCATCCAACTTCCGTTGACTTTGAAGTTGTCAAATTTGTAGAACATATGTGCATAACTTCCAGTTCAACAGGAATAATCTTCACAAGTAGATCAACTAGCTTGAAATTGATTTGAGGGACACCAAGTTGATCAGTCAAAAGGACAAAACAGAAGTGTCCTACTCTCTCAGCCATAAGTTGAAAATGAGGTAAGACATATTCAATTGTCTCATGCTCAATGCAACCATTTACTTTTAACCCAAGGAAATCTCTTATATTGTCGCACACTTTTTGAATTATCTCGTACTTTGTCTTCAACTCCGCACAGTGCTTGGGAAGATCACAGAGATTCAAGAGGAGCAATTCCAAAAGTTCAACCAACTGCTCCTCAGTCATGGTGGCACTTGATTTAGAATGAAGTGGTAAGCCGATAAAATTTTTGATATTTTCCAGGACGTGAGGAACGACATGATCCATGTCATATTTAACCAGCAAGTTATCTCCACTTTCATTGAAAACTGACCGAACCAGATCACCGACCCGTTGTGCTTGGAGAGACATTTTCGCATTGAAACCATCCAAATTGGAACAAGAAAGCTGAAGAAATGTTGACAAAAATGTCAGCTCCAATTTCAGCTTTTCAATTTGATCCATGTCAAGAACAATTTGATCTCGTCCATTCTTTAACCTCTCTATGAAATCCAGAAGATTGAAAATGTCCTTGCGAAGTACATAAGATGAGACCTGTCAAAATACCAAATGTATTAATGTAATATCAAATTTTCAAAGCTGCAAATTTATCTGACAAATTTTACTCTGCATTGCAGACAGGCAACTAATATAGTTGTAAAACTAAGTTCAACCAAGGAAAAAAAGAGTATTTCCAATTTATATTTGCCACAATCTAGTTAGTCACTCCATGCGTTGAAACACTTTTACCTTTTTGATGATTAGTAAATAATCTCAATAACCATTTTCTGGAAGAAGAGACGAATAAAGGTAACTTTCAAACATACATATAAAACAACCTCTTGAGTATTTAAACGAGGATCAAGAAGCTTTATATGTTCAGGTGCACAATTAAAACATGTCTTTGTTCGAGTGTCTAAATGAAATATACTGGCAAATTTAAGGGGCTTTCAACGTATTTCCGCCTTCTCTTGAGGATTATATTCATAATCATCCAAGCCAATATTGGGTTTAATACGTATCAGTATTGTATGACGTACCGATGAGTTGTTTGCTTCCCCTTTCTTTGTTTCTCCTTCATTTTGTTTTCCTCTTTCCATTTATGTAATTCTCACTAGTCAAGCCAAAGTATCTTTCCTTTTCCTTCCTTTCAAGTTTTCAAGTCTGATGTACAAAAAGTACACAAACCATTATTAGGAGAAGTAGATAAAAAAAACACAAGAAACTGAAAAACAAGTGGATTGACCATATTACTCTCAGCTCAGTTACCAAAATAATACTTTTTCAGCTATTTTAAACACTAAGATTTTCATCATGATGTACTAAGAAAATAAATTATTCATCTTAAGCTTTTGATTCTTGAAACACTGATCAAGGTCAAACATCGAATGGTGTATACAACAACAACAAACTCAGTTTGATCCCAACATGTGGGGTCTAGGGAGGGTAGTCTGTATGCAGACCTTACCCCTACCTAATGCAGAAACATCGAATGGTGTATAATAAGCAATTATTTTTGATGAAGAGTAATTTTTTATGCAATTAGTCTAAAACACCAGAAATGTCAATCTTGCTCGGGCTGAAATGGGTTGGGTCGAGATGGCTGAGTTCAACAAACAGGCGGGTCAATCACCAGCCCAACCTTGGGCGGGTTGAGCGGATTTAGACTCAAATTGCCACCCCTATTTTTTACCCTGACTTTTCCAACACAGCTAAATCTGTTGTTGATTTGAGCTGTTAGTCTTAACTAGCTAGTATATGATTTAGCTGAGCCTCATCCATTATATATTTTGCTTAATTGATCAATAAAAGAAAGAAGAATCTTTGTTACAGTATATCTTTGAGTCGGAAAACAAAAACCCTCGTAAATTTCAAATAGAGAACAACAGAAATTAAATAAGAGATGTTCAACATAAGCATACCTTTAAGTTCAGCAAACCAAGATTAAGCTGTTAGGAACTCTTGCTTGTTTGAGAAATAGTTGAAGAAAGAAAGATTTGATTTTAGTTGAAGTAATTGGCTAAGGACAATTTGAAAGGCCACCAATAGAAAGAAGAATCAGATACAGATTGATAATTCCATGATTAACATACAAGTCAATGACTAATGAATTGAAGTCTTTTTTAAAGCTAATTCAAATGAGTTTGGTGGAAAGGTAGAGTTATTTGTCATGAAATGGTAAAGTGCAGTTTGTATTACATTAGGTTGCCCCGTTTGGTAGGCATAAAAGAATATTGCGTAATAAGATGTAATAAGATGTATTAGTAATGCATGGATTAGTAATGTATCTGTTAGTAAGAATAGTGTGGAATAATATATATTAGTAATGCAAACATTAGTTATGCATATATTATTTCTTATTTAATGTTTGGAGTGATGTATTAAAATTATAACGCATTACATAATTTTTAAGAAAAATAATTGTTTACAAAAATACCCTCCATATTCTCTAGTTTTAAGGGACTTTACGGATAATTTTGTCTTTAACCATACTAATGCATGCATTAATAGCTTTGATATTATTAATGTCATGACTTTCTATGCATTACTTTACATAGGATAATACCAAGTATAATATATAATTAATACAAATATTAATTACACACAGGTTGAAAAAATGTACCAAACAAAGTATTAATAATACATAAAACTGATGTTTGTATTATTTTTTCTAATATCTCCTACCAAACTAATGATATGGCTTCCTCAAAACTTGGGTAAAAACAAAATGTTTCGTGCACCAAACAATCTTTTTTCCAATAATTATATATATGTCAATCAATAGAATCAAAATTCACTCCAACATTTAGAAAGTGGCCAGAAGAGGAGTAGTTGTGAAAGAGAAATTAATTTATGTAGGCAGCCTAATGTATCTAACGGGGAAATGAGTGCCCACGTGTTCAGTGGCGGAGCTAGAATTAAAGGGAAGTCAAAATATAAATAAGTAAGCATACGAAAAAATTATGAGGAGTCAACGTATTGTATATACACATAAAATTAAGAATTTAACATTCTAACACAGTGTAATTTTTCAACAAAGGGATGTCAATTGACTCCCCTTATCAATGAGTGGCTCCGCCATTGCACGTGTCCACTGATGGAGTAAATATAGGCAAAAACATTGGAGATATAGGTTGTGTTTGATATGAAGAAAAATATTTTCTATTTTTCAAATTTCCCACGTTTGTTTGGCTTAAATGTTTTGAAAAATATTTCCTCATGAACTCATTTTTCTCCNCCTCCCTAACCCCCCACCCTCGCTCCCTACCCCCACCCTGAATAAAAATGTTATTAATAGTACTTTCTTTTCATGTTATAGATAGATTTTTTTTTTTCATTTCAACAGAGTATTTTCTTTTTATGATATAAAAAAAGTATTTTTTTTTCACTTTAACAAAACAAAAATGTACTTCCTTTTCATAATGTAGAAATGGTATTTTCTTTTATTTCAATAAGTGATTACTTTATTTTCATGTTGAAGAAAGAGTACTTTCTTTTTCAACCAAAAAAGAGTATTTTCTTTATAGTTATGGAGTATTTGTGTGAATTTTTATAAGAATAATTAAATTGTTGAAGAAATAGAGTCCTGAAAACGTTGGGTATTTGGGGAGAGGGGACTTGGGGAAAGGGGTTGAGGAGAGTAGCATAAAAAATACTTTCCACTCTCTAACCAAATACTAGAAAATATTTTGCGGAAAAAGTTTTCCACTCACCAATTAAACAAGGGAAAATAAGTGATAAAACCACTCATTTTCATGAAAAAATTTTCTATGGAAAATAGTTTCCTTCATACCAAACACACCCATAAACTTTTATGCATCCTTGTGCCATAGATCACATGATAGTTCCTACAGAATATTGTTGAGCTAGAGTGTTGGCTAGGGGTTTAGTCAAACCCATTAGCTTTCATTTAAATTATGTATTTATCTTAAAAATTCATGAAATATGTATATATTTTTAATTTAAAACCTAATAACTTAGAATAATTACAATACTGAATTCATAAACTTCAAATCTTGGCTCTGCCTCTATCCATCAGATCGAACCCTATGGCAACATTTCTGATTCCTATTTAGTATTTACAATGTCAAGTGCCCGAACTTTGCATTCCTGCTTGATTTGGCTGATGACACTTTAATTTAGTATTTATGCAACCAACTTGTTATTTAGTTTCACTATTGTATATGGATATCACACAATACAAGATAGAAGGGGTTTATGAGAGAGACTCACAGAGCTAGCAGGAGGACAACAGGGCCCATGGCTAGTAATGGGTGATTTCAATACTATACTGTATGTTGAGGATAGACACTCTGGGGCTCCTGTACAAGAAGCAGAAGTTAGAGATTTTAGAGAATTTTTGTGTGACACTAGTATGACTGAGTAACAATACACTGGTAGGGACTATACTTTGACAAACAACAATGTGTATAGTTGGATTGATAGAGCTATAGTGAATGCATAATGGATGAACTTATGGCCAACTTAAAAAATTATAGTGATGGAGCCTTTCTTTTCAGATCATTCCCTTTTAAAACGTACTACTCAAGGGCGGTAGGGGAAGTGTAGGAAATATTGATTCCACCCATAAGGGGTGCTCTAAGGCCCAATAGGGTTATTAGTTAACCCTAATATTCCCTATATAAGTACACTTAGTGTGTATACTAAAGATACTACTCTGAGCAGTATTTTTCCTACGCTTTCTCTATCAATCAAACTAGGACCAGTAATTCCAGCCACGGTTCATCCGTTTTCGCTTCCGCTTCACGAAGAACAAGTAAGTTCTAGTTTTACGATTTACGCGATATCTAATGTGTTTAGATTACGATTTACGCGATATCTAATGTGTTTAGATTATCGCGTGTTCCTTCAGGAAGGGTGCTAGGCCATTCAGATTTTTCAATTGCCTAGCAGCTCTCATCAAGACTTGTTACCATTAATCAAGGATTGCTGGGATAGTATTGGTACAAATGTGTGTATGAGGCAGATATGGTATAAGCTCAAGGAGGTGAAGCAAGATATGAAGAAGTTGAATAGGACAATATACGTGGGTAGACATGAAGCTAGAAGACATAAGAAAAAATCTCGAGGTGGTACAATAACAAATGGGAACTCAGCTGTTACACGCCAATTTAATAGAAGAAGAGAAGGAGTTGAGATCACAGTTAGAGAAATGGGGAGCAATTGAGGAGAGTATATACAAGCAGAAATCTAGAATCAAATGGCTTGCGTTAGGAGATTCTAACTCTACTTATTTCTTTGCTAACATGAAGAACATGTGTGGGCAGAACTCCATTAGGAATTTACAGTCACTTCAAGAGGGATTGCTACATATCGAATCTGATATAAAGGATGAAACTGTGGTTTTTATAGGAGTCTTCTGGGCACATCTACTGAATCTTTACCCATAATTAATCCTACAGTTATTCAAGATGGGGTTGTACTTAACAGAAATCAGCAAAAGTAATTAATTAGTCCGATTAGAAGTGAGAAGGTAGTTCAAACACTTAACAGTATTGATGGTATTAAGGCCCCCGAGTGTGACAGGCTTAATGCATATTTCTTCATGGAAGCCTGGCCAATTATAGGTGATGAAGTTACACAGGTTGTGCTACACTTTTTTGATACAAATGAGATATTTAAGTCCATAAACTGCACGTCAGTGACGTTAATTCCCAAGGTCAAGAACTCCAATTGTCAAGGACTTTAGACCTATATCTTGCTGCACAACAACATATAAAATCATCTCTAACATCCTAACCGGTAGACTACAGGGAGTTAGGGATGCTCTTGTTGATAAGTGTCAGTCAGCTTTTGTCCTACGGATAGTCATTACAACCAACATTATTATAGGGCATTAACTAGTTAGGGATATGGAAGAAAGGGTTTATCACCTAGATGTATGATGAAGCTAGACATGCAAAAGGCATATGATTTCTTGGAGTGGATGTTCATAGAACAAATACTTATTAGGTTGGCCTGTTGTGATAGATTTGTTAAATGGATCATAAGTTGCTTGAAGACACTGTCTTACTCTATTCTTGTTAATGGGAGGCCGACTGCACCATTTGATGCCAAGAAGAGCCTGAGGCAAGTGGATTCATTATCCCCTTCTTGTTTGTGCTAGCGATGGAATATTTAACTAGAGATTTGAAGACCCTAAGACAAAAATCGGATTTTAACATCCACCCTAAATGTAGTAAAATACAGATAGTGCAATTGGGCTTTGCTGATGACCTTCCGATATTTTGTAGGGGTAATGTGATATCAGTCAAACTGATGTATGACTGTTTCCAGCAGTTTTCATTCGCCTTAGGATTGATAGTTAAAAAGGCCAAAAACTCAATCTTCTTTGGAGGGGTGCCCAAGGATATTCAAATAGAGATTCTTAGCTTGCGAGACTTTCCTAGAGGAGTATTTCTGGTCAAATACTAGGGGTGCTATGTATTAAGTTCGAAAAGATTGACATTATTGCAATGTTAGCCTTTGCTTGACAAGATGGTTGGAAGCAGGGGCGGACCCATGTGTTACTAATTGGGTTCAGTCGAACCCGCTTCATCGAAAAATAGTACGATGTTCATCGACAATTACATTTAAAATAGGGAAAATGCATATATAGGAATATATTTGAACCCACTTGATGTGAATGTGACATCTGTAAACATGGTCATGCGGGTTCAATGCTAGCGACTTGAAGCGAGGTCGTGTGTTCGAGTCACAATTACCCGTGTTCATTTTGTAAATTTTCCCTTTCTGTTTGTTTTGGGACATAGAATGTGCAATGGTAGGCCTTGTGAGCGTGTCTAACAGTAACCACAACATACTTGTAAAATTATTATTCCAATTACTTCTATTTTGTCTTTTCTCTATGTTACTTCATATTTTTAACTTAATTCAATAGAAATCAACTTTGTTTTACTTTTAAAAAATTAAACCTTTCTACAAAGTGATAAGTCATAAACTTTGCTAAATCATGCAAGAATATTTGATGAAATTATTTATAATTTGTTAGTTTATGTTGAAATTTTTGTTTGTTTTATATTAAAATTTTTGGTTAAATGTATTAGCCTCTTTCTTTAATTATTGGCATTAATTTTGTTAAGATTATAACTCTTTTTTATTGTCCTCTATCCGTAAATAATACCTTCTTAGTCACAGAAACAAAAGGATT